CTTTTGGGTTCCACGTCCTCCGGCGGACCGCAGAAGAATGAATGGCCGTCGCCAAGGTCCACCAAGTGGGCCAGCCCAGGCGGTGGCGAACCGCTGCTTCGGTGGGCGTGATCAACATGCCGGAGAGTCACCAATCACAGACCGGACACCAGTAACAACAAATCCAAAGCGAGCTGCCGTGGAAGGAGCCAATCAGGACAACGCTCGCGTTCCTCATTATGGGAGTTGGGCAAACCGCTTCGATAAAATTCAAATATATAATGATAATGTAATATATGTTCATGTGTTGAAAAAAATATTTTAAAAAATAATGTAAATAATCAATTTGCGGGCAGATTAGTCACCAATGAAAGAGCGCTAAGAACCAATCAAAAGCAAGCCGCCGCGTAAGTAGCCAATCAGGATGCCAGCAGCCGCGATTTGTGAGGAAAAAGATCGAATTTTTTTTTTTAATGTAAACACTTTAGTTATTTTTTTCCCAAAAGCGTAGTAATAATAACAAGAATAATATGAAATAGACACAAACACTATGAACAGCAGCAAGGTTGCCACATCTGCCTCAGAGTTCTTCGGTTGGAATCTCAACGTGGCCAATTTTCCGGGCGGAAGCAGACATCGCCAACCAGGGCACCAGCAAACGTCATTGTGGTTAGAAACAAATTATTTGATGATTAGATTTTATTTAAAAATAGACAGATTAAAATATAATACCACTATTTACAATAATACAAATACCCGTTATAATTTAGTTCATTTTGCAAACGATTAAAACATATATATATATATATATATATATATATCAAAAAAAAAATCTTTACCCGTGTTCTGTTCATGTGAGAAATTCAGTACAGTGTGAAGATTCTTGTGCCCTCAATTGACCATTGGGATGATCTGTCTCCAAATCCATCCGTTGTATTTGTTTTGACCTTCCCATTTGTCAAGTTGCCTCAGCAATGTCATAAATGATGTGCAGTTGTAAATGCAGCCCTAGTTGGCGTGAAATGTAATTGCCTGTGGAAACGTGTTGCAAAGTCTTTTTAATGGGAGGAGGAAGACGGACGGATGGACGACTCTGTCACTTCTTCCAAACCTGGACAACAATGAAAACTAAATTTAAAAAGCTGGGTCACAAATACTAGTTTAGGAAGTAAATCAAGTAATGTTCACAGAGGACCGTCGTTGTTGTTGTACAGTGTCTTGCATGTTCCTTCATATACGCCTGTTATATTAGTGTAGTCAGTAGAGTAGAAACAAGCAAAATATTAAAAATCTGCATCAGCATCACTGTCTCTTGGCTTTCTTGCTGTAAACAGAACTCCATCTTGTGTGAACTCCACTTGTTCTTGAGCAAAACCCCGCTGAGGTCAGGCACACATTAGCTGAAGTGTTTGAGGATAAGCTGTTTGCGAAGCTCCTCAGCCTGAACGTCACGGTCCTCGGGTCTCTGCTCCAGAGTTTCGGGCTGCTCCAGGGGGTCCGTCCTTTCCAGAGTCCAGGCATCTAATCCTGACTGGAGGGAGGCGTTGTGGAGAACACAACAAGCCAACACGATGGATGCGCTCCTTTCTGGTGAGTACTGTGCAGAGCAGTGATGGCAACAGTACTTTAGTTCGGGGATTGTACATGTCAGAAGCATACAGTGTGTGTTCTGTAATGTTCGCTTTCTCAATATAAATAAAAGTGAAATACCTGCAAGTATCCTTTGGTGCCATCTAAACATCTGAATCTAGTCTGGATGGCTCGAAACGTTCTATCCACAATCTCATGTGTAGCTGTGTGAGCAAGATTGTATCCAAACTCTGCAGGGGATTCAGGGCAATCCACCGGGGTCATCAACCACCTCCTTAGAGGATAACGGCTATCACCTAATAAGCAGAAAACCTTAAAAATATTTTTCACCATCAAAAGAACTACACTTCTAGATGTTACCTGGCGATACAAAGATTCTTACCCAGCAAATAGCCCTCCTCAGTTTCTTGCATGTCTTTATGTAGGACAGATCTTTCCAGAACATCTACACTTTTGAGCCCACCGGGCCAGTGAGTCTCTGCGCTAAGTAACAAGCCTCGGGCATCGCAAACAAGCTGACAGCCAATGGAGTGAAATCCCTTCTTGTTCACGTATGACGAGTCTTCGCTGTTTGGAGCCTTGATGGCAACCTGAACGCAGTCAAGCACTCCGAGAACACCCGTCAATCCTGCCACCCTCTGGAACTCCTGGGAGGTCTGCTCTCGGATCATGGCCTCTCTACACAAACACCATTCTTCATCTACATCAGTTCATCAAGATACACATCTTGATTATTCATTTACCTGTGCAATGTAATGAACTGAGGAGCTTTCTCAACCAGAGCTCTGGTCACATTGGAAACACATCTGGACATGGACGCTTGGCTGATTCCAATAGTATCTCCCATTGATGTCTGGAAAGAGCCGGATGTATAGAAGCCCAACGCGGCCAGGACCTGGACCTCAGGACTGATGGCTCTGGATCTCTGTGTGCGTCTACAGAGGGACTGGTAGACAAGAGAAACAAAATACCATGCTAGCTCTCCGAAAGATAGAGTGATAGTGTGCTCTTGAAAGCATGAGAGACGTTTACCTCACTGAGTAACTCGACCAAGTATAGGATAAACTCTCTGGGGAAGCCAAATTGTGTGAGAAGGAAGTCGTCTGATACAGAGCCCACGTCAAAACGGTCCAGGGTCTTGTGACCGCGGCCATGCAACAGTAGATCACAGTCCAAAATGGCTATTGAGATGGCCATGCTGCTTATAAAAATCACAATAAATACCCATTTAAATTACAATATATTCTGGTGAACATTCACCCTATTCAAATGTCACCCATTAATTTGGCTTTTCACTGAATATAATCTCCATAAATAAATGTTACCCGGTTGCATAAAGACCACCTTTTATGTGAATGAATTGAAACTAACCTGCGAAATAAACCAGACTGAAGATGTGTCAAATTAGGTCGTATATGTCAGCTGTAAACATCTTCACTCTAGGCCAGCAATTCACATACGCAATATCGGAAATTTTGACACACAATGCACACAAACGATAAAACAAACCACTTTTAGATGTTTTCCGATTTACCTTCTCAGCCAACTACGTCGATGCAGAAAAAGTGCCTTACTACACTCGTTCTTAGATTCGGCCAAATTATTTTTAAGGCTATGCCTCATACATATCACTTTTAATGGCAAAACCAGGCTTTATTTCTAACAAAATGTCATAGAGTAAAAACAGCCAAATGATTCTTTGCATTTTTCATTTTTATATGGCCTCCATACAAATTCGCGAAAGTGCAATTGGGAAAGCTTTGTTTGCTAAACACGTCGACATGGGGAAGATAAACAGAAATGTAGCATACCCGCACTTGACGTTGTTTACATCAGAATTGGTCTTATTCGTGATTCTGTAAAATTGAATCGAAGGTCCGATTGATCGAGCTGGTTTGTACCTCATCAAAGACACGTTGCTAAAGGAAAAGCTAATGTAGGTGTGCTTTTTATGATTGGTTTGAAATCTGCGACGTCCAGCTAGCTGAATGGCCTGCATAGCATTGGCCTTGGACTGATTAATCAGTTCCTTTGATGGAGAACCTATTAACTCAATGTCGCCTTGCCAGGTTCTACGTGTTATGGTGTACATTACAAAGTGTTATCCATTAAAGTTCCGAATCACTTCTATACAGTCGATCTATGGGCATTGTAATAGCGACATAGAGGCCGCACTGGCTTCACATATATGTTTCTGCTGTCATAATTTCATGAAGTAACAATAATTATCCACAACGTCATGATTCTAACTGCGTTGTTTTATGTATCGTACTATATATTTGAGTGTATATTATTTAAAAAGCTGCATATCGAATGCAAGTTTGAAATTCGACTTCATATCCAATGGGGATTTTTTGTTGCTGTTTGTTTGTTTGAGCGACAGATCTATATGTTCGTTTACGGCAGTGCTGTATTATTAACAGTGTGGTGCCTGTTCGTTGCTGTCATTTATGCTTTTTAAACAGGTCCATTATGTGCTCATGCTCAATTGCAGGGTCGTAACAACATGGACAGTGACCTGAGTCCACAGGATAAAAAAGACTTGGATAAGTTCATCAAGTTCTTTGCCTTAAAGGTGAGTAGATGCTTCAAAATAAATTATAATGGCTTTATTCTTGCTAGTTTTAAAATAAATTGAACTTTTCTTGATTGTGTTCAACAACAGTTTCATCGTATTGTTGATGTGTTTGTAGACTGTTCAGGTGATAGTGCAGGCTCGCCTTGGTGAGAAGATATGTACTCGCTCGTCTTCAACACCAACTGGCTCTGACTGGGTAAGGCTAAAGTGTTTTATTTATTTATTTTTTTGAGCGCAGATCTAACATTTTTAATTGATTGGCTTTGTGTACACGCGTGCTCTTCACAATGTGCAGGCACCATTGTTAGTTTTAATTATCGGGAAACATATACACAAATGAAATGTGCTGAGACTTTGCCACCACCGAGGGTCCCGCATGCAGCTCAGAAAGATGTGATACAGTATTTACAAACCCAAACCCAATGAAGTTGAGAGGTTGTGTTCAACATAAATGAAAACAGAGCAAATTATTTGCAAATCATGTTCAACATATAATTAATTGAACACACTACAATGAAAAAAAGATATTTTAAGTTTAAATTGACAAACTCTATTGTTTTTAGCAAATAATCACTAACTTAGCATTTTATGGCTTCAACACATTCCCAATAATAATGCTTGCTTCTGTGTTACATCACCTTTTATTTTAACAATGTTCAATAAACGTTTGGGAACTGAGGGCACTAATTGTTGTAGCTTTGTAGGTGGAATCCTTTCCCATTCTTACTTGATTTACAACTTCAGCCGTTCAACAGTCCAGGGTCTCCCTTGTCGTATTTTACGCTTCATAATGAGGCACATATTTTCAGTGGTAGACAAGTCTGGACTGTAGGCAGGCCAGTCTAGTAGTCATACTACGCTGTTGTAACACATGCAGAATGTGGTTTGGCATTGTCTTACTGAAATGAGCATGAGCGTCCATGAAACAGGCATAGCTTGGATGGCAGCATTTGTTTCTCCACAACCTGTATGTACCATTCAGCATTAATGGTGCCTTCACAGATGTCGAAATTACGTATGCCATTGGCACAAACATCTCTCTCGCTCTTAAATCAGATTGTAACCGCTTTGTTGAATTCAACTTAAAGGTTGTTTACATTGCTTGTGTTTCATTTTAAGTGTGGGTGTAATTTTTTTGAAATGTTTTATTTTGTAGTTCAATTTAGCAATCAAAGACATCCCCGAAGTCACCCATGAAGCCAAGAAAGCATTGGCTGGCCAACTTCCAGGCGTGGGACACTCAATGTGCGTGGAGATCTCTCTAAAGACTTCTGAGGTAAAATCCTCATTTCTAAAATGCCTTAAAGTTAAAAAGTCAACATTTTATGGACCCATGCTACCCTGACTCACACACTGACAATACCCAACCGAATAGAACCAACAAATGCATAATGTGCAAATGTTGTATTGGTGGAATATATAAAAATAAAATACAAATGTAACAAGAAATGCAACACAATTGCACATTGTGCAATAAGCATACAGTATAGCTGGTGCTCTTCTGTCACCGATACACCCCAGCACGTCACCTGACTTCTCAACTTCCCTTTGCTGTAGACAACCCCAGGTAAGAATGAGAGCCTCACCAGTTTCAGCGGATGTTCAAGTATGTCGAAAAAAAGCAGGACACAAAACTAATCATTTCAAATGGCAACTTTCTGGCTTTAAGAAACACTTACATTTTTAGACCAAGCAGAGGAAAAGAAAATATAGACTCACTTAATTCTGAGGAATAAATTATGGAATGACTCTGCACATTTCCATTCCCAAACCCTGCATCAGATTAGATCTGCTCGCAAGTCTACAGTTAAACGGGAGTGATCACACCTTTGAGACCTGTTGCACCAAGTGGCCTCACATGAATCAGAGCGCCAACATGAGAGATGTTAAGTGAAACAAAGGGGGAGAGCAGTTTGAAACTTCTTAAAGAAGGTAAATCATCACGCAATGTTCCAAAAGATGTTGGTTGTTGGTTGACGGCTGTGTCTAAAATCTTGACTGTCGTGGCCTGCAAATCGTAAGGATGTGAATCCCTTTGAAAGTCTTTGCTGAAACTTGAAGACAGTGGTCCATGACAATGTTCCAACCTGCAAAGCTGATCTGGCAAACGCAATCAGCGAAAGATGGAGCCAGATGGATGAAGAGTACTGTTTTGTCACCGATGAGACGTCAAGCTTTCTTAAAAGCCAGAGGTGGTGCAACAAAGTACTGGTGCTGTGTTGAAGTGTACCTTTGCTGTTATTTTTTTTGGGTAGTTTTTCATGATTCCAATTTTTTTTTCTCAGAATTGAGCGATTCCATTTTTTCCCTTCTGCTTGGTCTTAACCATGGTGTCAAAGTCAAGGCCCGGGGGCCAGATCCGGCCCGCCACATCATATTATGTGGCCCGCGAAAGCAAATTATCTGCGTCAACTTCCATTATCCTTGCTTAAATCTGTACCGAAATCTCAAATTGTCAGACGTAATAAATAATGGTAACATTTTGCAATAAGTTTGTTACCCTGTTTGCACTCATTTGAGCAATAATCGAACAAATACTTGACTGATTTCAAAACTTGTCAGCCATCATTTTATTTATTTATTTTTTTTTGTGTACAAGTAATAAATGTGATGATTGAACATTTATTCTGCTTCACTGTCATAACGGCCCTCTGATGGATGACGTAACTCTGAAGTCGCCCGCGACAAAAATGAGTTTGACACCCCTGGTCTAAACAAATACCTGTTACTGACCAGTACTACCACATATTTAATTTGATATCTTGTCGTGTTTCTTAAAGCCCAATAGTTGTCGTTTAAAATTACTTTAGTTTTGCGTCATGCTATTATTTCTACAAATTTAAACCACTGACTGAACATCCTCAGAGACTGGTGATTCCACAATGTTTGTCAGGAGTTGCAGAAGCTACAGTATAAAGAATTATACCGCCATAAAAATAGATGAAATACAATTTTGTCTTTTATGGACGGATGGGTGGCACAATTCCAATCGTATCAGTTACTGGAATTTATAAATTTATTTTATTGCTTGGAGTGAAGTCAGTGAATAGATAAGCCACATATTGTTTCCCAGAGTCCACTAACTTGCCTTGAATACTCAAGCAGCAACCAGCCAGAGGACTCATAGGAGAATAGGCGTGCTGCAGGTCTAGGGTGGGTAGGTGAATGAAGGCCTCAAACCTGTGCCTTCTGATTTAGTGCAAAGATTAAAACCGTGAAGCAATGTTAGTCAAGCGCGGACCAGCCCAACTGGACAATCATGTGCCTGTCTTTCTTCCAGGGGGACTCGATGGAGTTAGAGACTTGGTGCCTGGAGATGAATGAAAAGTAAGATTTTTTTTTTCCTTACAAATGTAGGGAAAAAAGTAAGGCCAAATTCATTTCAAGAAACATTTGTAGCTTATTTATTTGAAAGAGAAAAACTGTCTGGAAAAATAGATGATATACATGGCTGCAGAGCAGGCGTGTCCAGCTCCGGGCCTGGAGGGCCACCGTCTTGCCTGTTTTCCATCTCTCTCGGCTGCAACACGCTTGATTCAGCTGATCAAATCATCAGCCAGCTCTGAAGCAGCATTGGAACGATCCTGATGATTTGAATCAGCTGTCTTGCTCCTGGGAGAGCTGGAAAAAAAGGCAGGACAAGTGACCTTTGAGGACTGAGTTTGGACACCCCTGCTGTAGTGGTACAAGATAGGGCCAGAAGTTCTGAAAATTTTTGTTTACCTGCAGTGACAGGAACATCACGATGCTTGGGGTAATTTTCTTTCCCATCACCTGAGACAACTCTCTCCTTCACTTCCTCATGTTCATTTGTAATGTGTTCACACGCGGTGTCACCAAACAGCACAAGTGATTACTTGTCACAGGCAAGTCATGACTGCCAACATGTTTGAAGACACCTGTGATGCTAAATAGAGGACACACCTTGGTTGAACATGTCCCCATGGTCAAATTAGTTTATTATTTTCTCGGGCACTCTAATTTTTGTCCAAACCTGTTGCACAATTTAAAAAAAAAAAAAAAAA